GCTTAATCGAGTAGGCTATCTCGGTCTGTCTGCTGGGATGGGTTGTATTCTTCTCAGCCTGGGTTGGACCTGACAGGCATGGTGGGGGAGTTAACACTTTAGCATACCATACAAAAGAAAGAAAAAAACAACAAAATGTTTGTTTGTTCTTCTTAAAAGCCATATAGCACGCTCAATGTAAAAAACAACCAGGAAACAACAAATGCAGTTTTTGGGACATATAAATAGACATACGGGTCTTGAACATGTAGCTCTCACTGGCAAAATTGAGGGCAAACGAGGCAGGGGTAGGCCCAGAACAACATACTTAGGGAACCTAAACAAATGGGTAACATGGAAAGATCAGGGAAACGTAGCTTTTCTGAGAGCATCCGAGCAAATGGAAAATCATGATCGCCGATGTCTGTCGCAGATCTGGCACTGGATGACGATGATAGCATGCACAAAAACAAAAAACAAAAAAACAAAAAACAAAAAAAAAACCATAACAATGAGCAGGGTTGAAGCAGGTTATTTTGTACGACATGGTTTTATTAAAATAATAAGGTGAGGAATACATTACACTATCTTACTTCCGTTTGGAAATCTTGGCTACAAAAGCAATTAATATGCAACAATATAATGCATACTTAAACACAAATTACAAATACAGGCAGAACCAAATTCACAATATGACACCAATGCGGACAATTTTACAAATTATAATATGATATTCCTGTGCACCACAGTGCAGCCTCCTGGGGGTTTTTTTTGGTTGTTTTTTTTTGGAGGGGGGGGGGGGGGTTGTTTTGTTTGCTTGTTTTGTTTTGGGTTTTATTTGTGTACTTTATTTTAGCTAGGTTTCGGGTGTTTAAACCCCATGTCACTGACACTCTGCTGGAGGTCATTGTGAGTCTTAGCCGAAGAGGTCATGCAGTGGTGTGACTTTAGAATCATCATCATCATCCGGTGCCTTGCCGACTGGCGTGGGCGATCATGGACCTCCACTTCACTCTGTCTTGCGCTGCAGCAATGGTGTCTGTTGTTCTTGCTGCTCCTAGCCATGTTGTCATCTTGTCTAGTATCTTTTCCCTCTGTCTGCCTCTGTCTCTCTTTCCATCAAACTTGCCTGTTGTTGCAATATTCTCTAATGCTTCTTTACGCATTGTGTGTCCGAAGAAAGACTTCAGAATGTCGTGTTGGTACATCTGAGGCAAGGGATGTAATCCACAATGAGCTTATTGGACTGACAATAACAATCAGTTCTCTCCCTTCATTGGGTGCTGCCCTTGTGTGTTTTTAAGGGAAAGGGTTGCTTTTGTTTTCATACGTGCTCGCCTTTAAAATAAAACTTTCTTACATAACGTCCTACTTCTTTAAAACGTGACATCCTTCTGACGAGATACGATACTTGTACAGCCTAACTGTTTGTTTGTTTTTTATTTCTCGAAGAAAAGATGAACTAACTTTGCGAAGCTATTAAAGATGATATCAATAAGAAATGTCTCACACCTATGACCTGAAGTGCAATAATTTCAATTGATCTGAATCACGGAGAGTGAAACTGAAACTTAAGAACACAAACCAAAATTTCCCAAACCGGAGGGCCATTACACGTCAACCTTTGAGTCAGGGATGACACCTCTAAGTTTTACTGGTTTATGTCATCGTGAATACATTGATGACTTTGACTGACTCCATCGGTGCTGATCCCAAAAGAAAGAAACTTTTTTAACCAGCACGATATACTACCAGCTTCAAGAATAACTCGTTACGATTTCAAATCAGGACCGGATGGAAGGTGTACCATCGTAGCTTGCAGTACACGATATGTTTCAGTAAGTTAGCGCACTAAAAACAAAGGGTTGAGTTGAAGTCACATTTCTAGATAAAAATTGAGTTGAGTTTTGCGTCTCTTTTTGCTTGCAAATTACCCCCCCCCCCCCCTCCCCCAAGAAATAGATAATCAAATAAATATATAATTAATATTCTTTTAAAATACACCAATAGGGCCTATATAAATCATTCAATCAATAAATCATGAGGATAACCTTATCTAGAACCTGATGTGTAAGAAAATGTGGGTCAGCTGTGTTGGTAATTAGTAGGTCTAAAATGTGACCACTACGATGTGACGGCTCTTTGATTAGTTGCTTTAGATTGTGATGGTCAAGAATTGAAACAAGGCGTTTGGTGTCTGGTACAGATGGAACATCAAAGTGAAAGTTGAAATCCCCTACGATGTAAAAAGGGGGAGGCAGCTTGCTCTAGTTGAAAGAGTAGATCTTGGAATTCTATGAAGAATTCTTTATTTGTAAATTTATGTTTCTTGTTAGGTGGCGGTCGATAGATACATATCACGCGGAAGGTAAGTTGCTTTTATCGGATGAAAGCAGTGGCTGATTCAAATGTTCGATACGATGGACCATCGCAGACGAACTTTACTGGAAAACCTCGCTGATGAATAAAAGCAATTCCGCCATCACGTGAGCCGCACGAAAAAGATTTAAGTTCAAAGCCGGGTGGTAGAATGTCGGCTATGATAGATTCATCGCCTTCTGTTCGAAGCCAAGTTTCTGTGATGCACAACAAGTCGATGTTCATTTCTTCAATTACGTCTCTTACAATGTTTGTTTTGTTGCAGCACGACTGGGTGTTAATACAGCCAATTCTTAAGTTGGGACAGTTATGTTGAAACACATTACGAGTGTCTATCTGTATAAAGTGTTTCTTGTTCACAATAGTCATAGTTCTATTTTTAGAAACAGTGTCACGAGGAGTCCCTGTTTGGCACTGGTAACCAGTTGATAGTTTGTGTACTCGCAGGTAGGTGACCACATTTGCGAGGCAGCGTGGTGGAATCAGGCTCTCGTCAAAAGAATCAAAGTGAAGAAACTTGCATTTTTCCGTAGGTTTGTGAATTTTAATCAAATTTTTGTTTTTTGGCTGAACACCTTTCATGCTAATTAAACAACTCATTTTTGTGTGGATTTTTCTGAAAAACGTTGATTAAAGGCACAGAAAATGTAAATTTTCAGTTACCACGGACTCTGAAGCGAAGGAAATAGCTAACCTTTGGCGGCCATTTTCTCACTAATTTTACCTCTGAAAACAGATGACCCCCACCTTCTTCTTTCGCAAATATCTCGACTTACATTCAAGATAAATGGCTACTTTTTTCATTCAAATAAAGACAAGTGAACAAGCTTTAAGATGATACCAATAACTCTACATGCCCAAAAATTGACGAGAGCCTGATTCCACCGCGCTGCCTCACATATGCCTTATGTACTGGTGTCTCGATTTCTCTGTAAAGGGGGGGGGGGGGGGCTCTAGAGTTTCAGTATTTTTCTCTCATTCAGTAAGTCTCGGGTTCGTATCCTGACAGCGACGAAAAATGTTCTTCTTTGAAATGTTCTCCTTTCTTCCCCCTTTCCAGTCCGGCTGTGTCATCTGCTTCCATCTCCACTTTCTCCTCACACCCTCTCCACACACCCTCTCCACACACCCTCTCCACACCCCAACCTCCGGCCTCCTCTTGACTCTCCACTCCCCTTTACTCTTGACTCTCCACTCCCCTTTACTCTTGACTCTCCACTCCCCTTTACTCTTGACTCTCCACTCCCTTTACTCTTGACTCTCCACTCCCCTTTACTCTTGACTCTCCACTCCCCTTTACTCTTGACTCTCCACTCCCCTTTACTCTTGACTCTCCACTCCCCTTTACTCTTGACTCTCCACTCCCCTTTACTCTTGACTCTCCACTCCCCTTTACTCTTGACTCTCCACTTCCCTTTACTCTTGACTCTTTTTACTGTTCTCCTGGTTCATTCTCACTGCTATCTTTCAGCCACACCCCTGATCTCAGAGTAAGTATGATCTAACACCTAGCCTTCTCGGATAACAAAGAAAATCTCGGAGGTTCCGTGTGCAAGTTGCTCATGTTAAAGATCCATTAGTATGATGGTCCTACAATCTATAGTATAGGAGTAGATTCTAGGCTTCGGTCGCTACCTGGCAAAGTTCAAAATTGCTAACAAAACTGGACATTCTCTAGTACAAATAAAAAGATTTAAGATGTAAGTAAGTTTATTCAGTGTTTATATACTCATTTCCATAATGAAAAGGTACTGGTTGTGCACATATCACTTATCATGGGTCTTACACATTGCATATTTCTGTCACTGGGCCGAGTCAGGCTGGGGGAACAATGTTTATAGAAACATTTAGGGTACCTTCAAAATCGGATTTGGTTGACTGAAGGCAAGGGGCCGTACACGAAGTAGGTTGAAGAACCAGTAGTTGACTACCCCTGAGATCTAGCGTGGGAGCGCAAGGAAGAAGAAGAAGAAAGAATTCCTCTGTCCATTTTTTCGTCTGATGTGAATAATAGTGCTTCCAATAAGCTAGGAGTATTCAATCCAGAGATGATGGTAAGGAGGAAGGAACAGAGAAAGAAGGCAAGACAATACCACACAGTCAGGGCCAGCTGGGCAAGATCCGGATAATCTATAAGGTTAATGGATCACAATTTCCTTATCAAACATTAACAAAGAACACACACTGGCCTCCACCCCCCGGCACGGTGCTACTGACTGAAGTGTCTTTAGGTCATTCCCAAAAGGGGGGGGGGGAACCATAATATGTTCTTATACACAGTAGAATTTGTAAATAGTAAATGAGCTGATACATCAATGTCGTGTTCATAATCAATTGTGCTTCAACTGCAACAGGGAACTGCTGCTTTTTATTTCCTAACCTTTACTATCGTCATTTTTTCCTCAACTTCTTTTATATGTTTGTCATACTCTTGTGACCCGCTATTTCCGGGGTGCCTTGATAGTCGAAACAGACTTTGTACTGTTGAAGCTAGAGAGGTGAGCAGAGTAAGCCCGATTCACTGTAAGGGCTTCTCTGTTGACATCCACCCCTTGGCGCTCATATGACCTTATACAGTTTAGAACGCCGTAAAACCTTACTAAAATTAAACAAACCCTCACACAACTGTCAAAACAGTACACTTTTGTTGTTGTTGTTGTTTTGGGTGTTTTTTTTAATTAAAAGACACTCACAAAAATATATATGCTTTTATTTACAGATACTCACAAAAATAACTGTGCCTTTATTTACAAACAGTAACAAAAATAACCATATCTTTAAGTCTCTTCTTTCTGGAGACACGTAATAATCAAACAGGAAGAGGGAACCGTTGTTGTTATTGTTGTTGTTGTAGTTGCTGCTGCTGTTGTTGTTGGTGGTGGTGGTTGTGGTAATGGTACAAATAGTTCTTTGTCATGCCCTCCATTGATGTTCTTCGCTACAACGGTACACTGCACAATAGTAACATTATGGCTAAAATACCCCCCCCCCTCTCCCAAATAGAAAACACAAACAAACAAACAGACAAACAAACTAACAAAAACAAAAAAAGCAAACAAAAACAAAACGACACATACACACTCTCACACATACACACCAAACCAACAATTCCAAACACAAATACAATAGATACAAATTATGGAATGGAAAGAAACACGATAAAAACAACAGCTTAGATTAGCCGGCTTAACAATTACAGCACTTTGTTCATAGGTATACAATCCGCCAAGACAGGCCAAAAACTTAATACAAGGAAAGTTTCCACTTTTTGCACAGTTCTCGCCAGTTTGTCTCTTTTCACAGCACAAGACGTCATACTTCAGAGGCGACCGAGGTGTGAAATGGTGTGCAAGGGGGCAAAGGAAGTCTAGAATGATTTATTTTAGGGTTGATTGGTCTTGTTTTCGTCCCTCAATATTCTTCTGGGAAAGAGGGCACAGGTGAGAGGGGGAGGGGTAGGAGGGCTGGATCTGATTTTCTTCTCAGGGTTCGGCAATTTGTGTCGGTTGGTATAATGTGGGTGGGTGGGGCGTTCGGGGGAAGGGGGGGGGAGGAGGGAGTCGGTAATCTTTCATCGTGCCTACATGTAGTGACGTGATCAATCAGTAGCCGTAGTAATAGTTGGGACTCTGGGTGACCACCACGACAACAACAACGACGATGACGACCAAGACGACAATTCCGATGACCATCGAGATGAGGGAGAGGCGGCGGGCGTCTTCAGAGAGAGTCCGTGCGGCCAGCAGGTCGTTGCGGTTCAGGGCTGCCCGGGACTGTGGAGATAGATATATATAGATAAATAGATAGATAGATATAGATAAATAGATAGATATAGACAGACAGACAGACAGACAGACAGACAGACAGACAGACAGACAGACAGACAGACAGACAGACAGACAGACAGATAGATAGATAGATAGATAGATAGATAGATAGATAAGATAGATAGATAGATAGATAGATAGATAGATAGATAGATAGATAGATAGATAGATAGATAGATAGATAGATAGATAGATAGATAGATTCGGTCAACAGATAGAAACGGTGATTGGTTTTGGAGGGTGACTTTAGTAGGCTCTACTTTTCTTTCTCTCTGTTGTTTCTGTCCGTCTTTCTCTCTCCTCTCTCCCCTCCCTCAGCTTGATGTGCACCTCTAAACCCAATCAAAACAATAGAAAAGATAGGAGCGAACTGAATACAAAATAAATGCTAGAGAAGTAGACACTTTGTTGACAATGAGTTGTGTCATCCATACGCATGGCACCCGACTAGCGGGGCAGTTGCGTTCCTTTTTTTATTATCTCCCAGTGGCCAGACATGACTTAGCAAGTCGTCCGAGGGTACCACTGCGCTACTTTAGAATAAGAAAGTCCTATCTGACATTTTTGGCCGTTTTGACCATGAAGTCAGAAATCAAATGTGAGGCAGCGTGGTGGAATTAGGCTCTCGTCAAAATAATCAAAGTGAAGAAACTTGCATTTTTCCGCAGGTTTGTGAATTTTTATCAAATTTTTGTTTTTGGGCTCAACACCTTTTACGGCCATTAAAGAACTCATTCCTGTGTGGATTTTACTGAAAAACGTTGATTAAACGCACAAAAGATGTGAATTTTCAGTTACCACGGACTCTTAAGCTAAGAAAATAACTAATCTTTGGCGGCCATTTTCTTATTAATTTTACCCCTAAAATACCCCTAAAAATAGGTGACCCCCACCTCCTTCATTCTCAAATATCTCGACTTGTATTTAAGATAAACGGATATTTTTTCATCCAATCAAAGACAAGTGAAGAAGCTTTAAGATGATACCAATAACTCTTTGTGCCCAAAATTTACGAGAGCCTGATTCCACCACGCTGCCTCACAAATGTTCTTCCAGCTCTATCATAATCGTAAGATGATTCGCAGTCATCATCAAGATATTCGAAGAATTACATTCGAAAAAGCTGGACATGCAGTGAATCTCAACATTTTTAACTTAAAATTCTCAAAACTAAGCACTGAGCAGATATAACTTTGTAGTTATACAGAATCGACTGGTAGGTCCTACTCCTTATTGTTGTCTTTGTGGATAGATTATGTGCGTCAGTTTTACTCCCCCCCCCCCCTCCCTTTTCCTCAAACACTTAACGACCGTTATCGTGTCTGTGTGCATCTCTTTTCTCCAACAAACAAACAAACAAACAAACAAACAAACAAACAAACAAACAAACAACAAACAAACGAATTGACCTTGCTTACCTCCGAAGCTCTCATGATGGCCACAATACCTACAGGCCAGAAGCAGCAGAGGGTGGCGAAGATTGCTAGGCTCATTTGGTCCGGCACTTGGTGAACCATCTGCTGTGTGGTCATCATCGGCTGGTGAGTGACCACTGTTGCGTTGTTCTGGCCCTGCATGCCCTGGTGAGAAGTGTCCACAGAGGTTATTCATACCCTGGGCATACTTCAGAAAGCTTCTTTAGATTCTTGTTTGATAGTCTGATTAATTGATACGTTTGAAAGCTGCCAGATTTGCCTCCACATAGGAGCACAAGCTACCATTTTGGCACAATTTGAACAGATCTTTCAAAAATGTATTCTTTTACAATGTAAGTGTCCCCCCTACACTCAAATCTACTCAATTTAGATTATTTAGGGGGCTGGCTTCCAACTCTGCCTGTTAGGGCCAACTAGTGCTAGGACGGTCCTACCGGAGACGGACGTTAAACTAGGAGGTCCCGCCCCTTAAATAACCTAATAGTGTTGATAGGGGCGTTAAACCCATACCATTTCACCATTTTTCAGTGCTGAGAGGGATTCTACGTCCCAGCAGAAAGACCGAGATACATGAATGTGTCTCCCCGCGCAGGAATCAAACTCCCGTCTCCTGCGTTCGACAGAAAAACGACTATCCACTACCCCACAGACGTCAGTTCTTCTAAGATTAAGACCGTTTGATTTTCTAGGCCACTTTGAAAATCGGGACCAACAACCAATCACAAGGCCAACTACATGTCACGTGACATTGTTGGGTTCCGATCTTTTATTTGCACGTTAAAAGCAATAGATTCCAATGACCCAGTGGCCTTTCGGGGTTTCAAATACGATTAAGCAAAGCAGAGATCTGTTTTAAATAGAATGCATTCACCAACGCCGTTACCCGCTTGAACCTGATTATTAAACAGATTACAGATCGGGTCCAATTAACCAATGGGCATCCTCTCTTTGGGAACAGTGGAATTTAAAACAGTTGCTACGTTTCGGCGAGTCAAATCGAATCATGCCCTTGAGAATAAAAGAGGTCTGACTGAGTTGGGTCAAAATTTCTTATCACTTCAAGGGAACAAAGCTCTTTTACACATCTGGGCCGAACATATCTAAATTTTACATCCCTAGCGGTTATCTTGAAAAATTTCTTTTAACTGAAATAAAGCTCATAATTTTTTATTTTTTTTCCGGGAAACTGAAAATCCCTTTTCCATCGAAACTACCAAAAGTGCAGTTGGACCACTTAATTTTATCGAACCAATCAAATTTTTAGTTTTGAAAGAACTTCATCACTTGAAGTTCTTCTGAGGGACATTTTGGGGATATGCTTGTGTTCCTGAGAAGTGCACGAGGGCTTAACAAACAAAATAATAATATGATTATCTTCTTCTTCTTCTTCTTCTTCTTTTTTTGTGGTTTTGATAATAAGTGTTTTACGGCGATCGCAACTGCATAAGGTCACAAGAGGGCGGTGGACACATTCAACATTTTCAGTCTGGTAGGAATTTTTAGGGCAAAAAGTGGAGAAAAAAAGAAGACGACAGAACATTGTTAAAGAATTACAGGAAATGAGGTGAAAGGAAATCATTTCAGAGAAGGAAATTTTCCGTCGCTGTCAGGTTTCAAAATCGGGACCTATCGCAAGAGAGGCGAACACCCGTAACAATTACTCCACGAGAGCCCCCTCTCCTTCTCCTTTTCGTTGTTTTTGCTAGATCTCAGGGGTAGTTTAACTGCTGGTTCTGCAAACTACAGTGCAACTGATTTGTATGAGTAAGATATGATTGTTTGCCCTACAGCGTAGAGCCCATCTACTTTAAGTGTAAGACAGCCACACTCCGATTTCGAAGGTATTCTACTTTTTTTTTTTTTCATATCGACCAAAGTATTTTGGTAGGAATTAACTTTGAGCTCTGCATGGTGGCCACCGAAGAGTACTCATGTCGAATTTAGGACCACCAAGGGGTCTTGTACACAGGACCCCGGAGACTTTTCGCTCTTATTCGAGAAGGCCAGGTATCTGATTTTATATACCTTAAGACCAGGGAGAATAAGCCAAGAGCAGCAGTAGAAAGAGAAACAAGCATGAGAGAACCAAAAAGGGGGTCATGAGGGTGTACGTGTGTACGTGTGTGCGTGTGTGTGTGCGTGTGTGTGTGCGTGTGTTTGTGTTATATATATATATATATGTATATATATATATATATATATATATATATATATATATATATATATATATATATATATATATATATATATTCTCGAGAGTGAAGCCGACGGCAAAAAATAAAATAAATAATAAATAATAAATTGCATTTCCTTGAACCCCGCGGGGAAGCTAGGGTTACAATGGCAAGCATACACACATAAAAGCTAGGGTTACAATGGCAAGCATACACACATAAATGCAAGAATATAAACATACGTGAATGCGTGCAAAAATACACACATAAATACGACATACATAAATACGACATACATAAATACAAAATATCACACCAATAAAGAACATTTTCACAAACACATCATTGCTAGTCGCCACTGTGCAGTACCCCGTTATTATTTTTTTAAAGCTAGGATTGTCGTGTCTTGCTCAAGGACGAGATAACAGAAAACGAGGACAAAGGGAAAACTGTTTAAATAGCAGACTTTCTTTCCATCCCTGGCAAGGAGACTCGCACATCCTACCTCCTCAACACGATTATTAAATTTCAAGAAAAGTCAATAAGCCAACAGATACACAGAAAAAAAGACATGGGCGTGTGGTGGGTGTACACTTACATACTGCGGCGGGTAGGGCTGGCCAACAGGCTGCATTGGGTACCCGCCCTGGGGTAGGTACCCTCCCTGTTGTGGGTAGGGGTTGTAACCGTAAGGACCTGGCTGGGCAGGGTTCCCAGAGGGGTCTCCAGTAGGGGGTGCATACCCGGTGTTGCTCTGTCCGGGGTTCACTTCGTCGTAAGATGGCGGCGCGGTTTCTACGGAAAGAAAATAATAATAATAATAATAATAATAATAATAATAATAATTGCATTTATATAGCGCATATCCATGCTCAAGAGCATGCTCCATGCGCTTCACAACTATTATTACCCCAGCAGACCCTCTGAAAACACTCAGAAACATTCTCAGCTTCCGCGGAAGCATACAGGGCAAGCTGCGGATTTCACGCGCTCAAACACTATCAAACTGACAAGAAATAACACTGCATTGTAAAAGTAGGTTGGTAGGTGGTTTATATTGGGGTGGGGGGGGGGGGGAGTGGATAAGTTGGTAAGTAACGACATTGTAGGTAAGAAGGTAGGTAGTTGGGTCGGTAGATAGATAGGTAGGTAGGTAGGTAGGTACGTACGTACGTACGTACGTAGGTCGGTAGGCCGGTAGTTCAGTATGTCGTTAGGTATCGGATGTCTAAAAACTATCTTTTGAAGGAGCAATACCTCGGCTATCTTTGGACCAATTTCAATAAAGCTTAGAACAAATGAAACATAATTCAACATAAGAACATAATATACCAACCCGCTCCAGGATATTCAAATTTTTAAAAAAGTTCTACCAAAACCAAGTGAAACGCAAAAACGCAACTTCTTGAAATTCACCCTTTTTATTGTATTTGTGCTTTGAGGAACATATGTGAAGCCTGCTGACAAAATAAGTAGCTTCTCCAAATTCTATTCCCATGGAATGACATACATCACGTTTATAGGTGAAGTTATTACTATTTATAAGTATGAAATCATACAGGGCATGTTATACTTTAAAAATATGACATCTAAAGAAATCTAAAAAATTAACCATAGTGTCGATTTTTGGCCAATATCTCCATTTGAGGATTGCGAGAAGTAACTCATTTTGTCAGCAGGTCTCACATATTTATCTATAATCGATGTTTCTAAATAACTCAAGGAAGGTAATGGCTATATAAATTGTACAATTCGGGTGTTGACCATTCTCTCTACACAAGCTTAAACACGCCGCAGGAAATTTTGATTACACTTGGGGCACATTTCTATGACGATTCTTTGGACATTCTGCTCAACATTGAGTTCCAACTGTTCAATTATTTATGGGTTGTTCCCGTAGACCCTTTTTAAAAGAATAGATAAGGAAATAATTGATGGAGTTCAAGTCAGAAGAAGAATGTCACAATTCATTTGTAAACTTTCGGTTTACAAGACTTTCACAAACTCTTCTTGCACGACACAAGGGCAACTTTTGGTGAGTGGGATGTAGCCCCACCCAACTGGAACAAAAGCTTCTCAATACCACAACCCCTTCTCCTCTCCAAACGTCTCCAAAAACTTTCTCAGCACGGTGAGACATCCATCTGATGTGACTGTTGTTATTTTACAATTCCTGACCTTCTTCCAGAACTGGCCGATCCCGCTCCTGCAGCTGACTGATTTTAAGAAGTAAAGTTTTGTATTTTTCTCAGTTTTGGCTAAACTTTTCAGAACTTAATGTTTCTCGAACTTGCACGATGATTTTCTTCATATTGACACATTTGATGTCCCTTTGGTAGTTTTTTTTTTTTTTATAAGTGGAAAGATGACCGAGATATTGCGTGCGCGCACGCGCGCGCGCGCGCGTGTGTGTGTCTGTGTGTGTGTCTGTGTGTGTGTGTGTGTGTGTGTGTGTGTGTGTGTGTGTGTGTGTGTGTGTGTGTGTGTGTGTGCATGCCTGTATGCTTGTGTATGAGTGGATGTATGAGAATGGTTACGTGCATACTCTTCACCTGTTAAAACAATAGATTTCAAAAAGAGAATGATAAACATTTTAAATAAACGACCCTCATGAAGTGTATGTGAGGCAGCATGGAGGAATCAGGCTCTTGTCAATTTTTGGGCATGTAGACTTATTGGTATAGTCTTAAAGGTTGTTCACTTGTGTTTATTGGGATGAAAAAAATATCCATGTATCTTGAATACAAGTCGAGATATTAGCGATTGAAGGAGGTGGGGGGTCACCTGTTTTCAGAGGTAAAATTAGTGAGAAAATGACCGCCAAAGATTAGTTATTACCTTATCTTAATAGTCCGTGGTAACTGAAAATTTCCATTTTTTGTGCCTTTAATCAACGTTTTTCAGAAAAATCCACACAGAAATGAGTTCTTTAATGGGCATGAAAGGTGTTTTGCAAAAGAACAAAAATTTGATTAAAATTCACAAACCAACAGAAAAAAGCAAGTTTCTTCACTTTGATTATTTTGACGAGAGCCTGATTCGACCACGCTGCCTCACGTATCTGTTTGCTTGTGATAAACAAACGCACACAGGTAGGATTACAAGTTCAGCGATAAGATATTATATTATGTGTGTGTATTTAAAAAAAGAAAACGCGTCAAGAACACTTTGTGACCTTCCTTTAATGAAATTTATCAACTACAAGTTAAACTTTGATACGGGTGGTGTTGTCCTTCAAAGAGTCTCATACCTATGCAATGCAGGCCCATGGTTGTTTATAAGGAATCTTGTTAGCAACGTATGTGGGGGGGAGAGAGAGAGAGAGAGAGAGAGAGAGTGTGTGTGTGTGTGTTTGATGCTTTCTGCCAAAATTGGGAATGCGTTGTCAAAGTTTTAAGCGACGTGTAGAAGTAGAAGCCAAAATAGACATTAGAGTCACCTGAAGCGAGTGCGAGTTTTATTTATTCCTAGGGGTTCCCCGACATCTTCCGATTTATATTTTTCTTTTGTCATTTACTGAAATTAGGTCTACAAGTAATGTTATGTTGTGATTTATTTCTGACATACGCTTTATTTCTTTCTCCTTCGAAAGTGTTACGTTTACATTCCATACTTTTTACACGTAATTTCACCCGGTTTTTCTTGTTTTCAAAATCTGCAAAGTGATTATTAATTACTCTATTTGTGAATGGTTTGTACTGTTTTAAAGTACTTGTACAACCAAAGATCCTGTACGCCAAAAGACGGTGAACTTAGCTCCACTGACACAGCGTTCTCGTCCTCACAAAGTCTCAGGTGTCGCTACTGTCGCTATTTTGGAGCTTTCGTTCTTCTATCTAGAAGAAAAGTAGCAACGTTTTAGTTTGAAAAACAATGTTATTTCTGCGACTTGACGGGGTGGTCAGCTCAATGATTATGATATAAATGTGAGACAGCGTGGTGGAATCAGGCTCTCGTCAATTTTTGGGCATGTAGAGTTATTGGTATCATCTTAAAGCTTGTTCACTTGTCATTTTTTTTGATGAAAAAATATCCATTTATCTAGAATACAAGTCGAGATATTTGTGAAAGAAGGAGATGGGGGTCACCTGTTTTCAGAGGTAAAATTGGTGAGAAAATGGCCGCCAAAGATTTGTTATTTCCTAAGCTTAAGAGTCCGTGGTAACTGAAAATTTACATTTTTGTGCCTTTAATCAACGTTTTTCAGAAAAATCCTCCCAGAAATGAGTTCTTTAATGGGCATGAAAGGTGTTGAGCCAAAAAAACAAAATTTGAGAAAAATTCACAAACCTGCGGAAAAATGCAAGTTTCTTCACTTTGATTATTTTGACGAGAGCCTGATTCCACCTCGCTGCCTCACATATTATAAATACAGCTTTACGTTCAATACAGATAGATGAGTTCTTATCAACTAATCCACGACACAGTAGCCTCTCGTGGTCAACTTAAGTTAATTAATGTCGAAAACGATCGCCCTGAAGACCAAACGCGATCTAAGTCAACAATTTGTCAAAGTACTTAGTAGTCTGAGTAACTTTTGGTGTACTGCACGACAGCAGACACTTTGAAAGTGTGTGCTCACAAGTCTTCAGAAAATTCGCGGAGCTCAGTAGATCTATATGTGATGCAGCGTGGTGGAATCAGGCTCTCGTCAAAATAATCAAAGTGAAGAAACTTTCATTTTTCTGCAGGCTTGTGAATTTTTGTCAAATTTTTGTTTATTGGCTTAACACCTTTCATGCCCTTTAAAAAACTCATTTCTGTGTAGATTTTTCTTAAAAACGTTGATTAAAGGCACAACAAATGTAAAATTTCAGTTACCACGGACTCTTAAGCTAAGAAAATAACCAATCTTTGACGGCCATTTTCTCACTAATTTTACCTCTGAAAACAGGTGACCCCCACCTCCATCATTCGCAAATATCTCGACTAGCATTCAAGATAAAAGATATTTTTTCCATTCAAATAAAGACAAGTGAACAAGCTTTAAGATGATACCGATAACTCTACATGCCCAAAAATTGACGAGAGCCTGATTCCACCACGCTGCCTCACATATCGAATAAACATGTGTAATAGTTCTATGTGCCCGACATGTAGGCCCTACAAACTCTGGAATATTTCTGAGGAGCCACCGTTGAATGGAATTTAATACATGCTCAAGTCCTCCGTCATACTGTTCACTCTAGTCACTCTATCATATATGACAGGTCACTGAGCAGTGGCATGAAAGGTCACTGAGCAGTGGCATGAAAGGTCACCGAGCACTGGCGTCGATAAATCGGGATCTAACAATATTATGAATAATTAATTTAAAACTTTATTAGGCCCACAACCCCTCCCCTTGTTGCATCATTCATCATTAGGTAGAAAATAAAATAAAACTATGCAATTATTTTGGGCCTGAAACTGCATTGAAAACGAAGTAACAAGGTTACCCTGGTATTATTATATATTATTTCCTACACTTCCATGGTCAGTTGTTCGCAAAGTCCGCGCAAATTCTTAGGTGGCGCCGCCAACCATCTTGATGACACCTTTCTACTAATTTTGGTTGCTCAAAAAGAGGTGTGGTTTATCCTGCAATACTTGGGATCTTTGGTACAATTCTAAAATTTGGTGTGCTAGAGGCCATAGTACGAGCCTAAAATAGATAATGTGTGTTGAAACTTTCAACCCGTTTTTCTCAGTTCGTGCTAGTTTGTTTGTTTTTTTAC